CACACGAACTTTTGATCGATCGGGTTTTAGATTATTGGAGACCTGCAGCATGCGTCTCTAAAGTTCGGCACCTGTATACTTCATCATCACTGCTGGGTAATATTGCAAAACATCACCAGCCATCAATTTTTCGGTTGCGATGATAAATTTATAGTTTGGAAGGGTGGGTCATTAGGCGAAACAATCCCAGACGGTCTTCAGCTCTTTTTCTTTTGGAGTCAATCCGACGACTAAATGTTCTTCATAATTTTATAACAGTCAACCTGATTCAAGAATTTTGTAAGATCACATCCAGATCACAAAAGATAAGATAGCACACGTCACTCATCATCAATCTTTGGTAGGCAGTTGTGCCTCCTTAGCGATGTGAAAAGCGTACTTGTTCTCAGAAAAGCCTTGTCGGCAATTGATGCGACTTCGCTCGATCTAGATTGGGGCTCAAATTGTTTGATGAAGGGAACGAATTTTTTTTACAGGGGTCAAGCGTTTAAGGGCTATCAAAACTTTAGACCGATATCCTGATGTATTCTTCTTACCAGAATCCTGATAATCTTGAATTCCATTGATGTTTAGTATTGGAGAATCTGTAACATTATGAAGCCACTTACGAGCTTCCGATAAAAAGCCTCTGCAAAGAACTCCTTGAATTTACGCTGGACAAATATTGTCAGATTCTGTTGTCTCTGAGCTTCATATTGTGATTTGGTACATTGTTGAGGAAGCTCGGGAACTAAGTACTTTATTGGCAACGTTTCAATTTCATAAAATCATCATCAGGCCTACAATATGTTGAAGAGAGGTGAAAAGCAAACGAGCGTTGTATACCTTTTTTGAAGTCGGAGGTAGGATGGATGGTTGCTAACGGATAATGGTAGCGGCCTCCTTGTCAGGGCTCGGCAAGAGGTGGGCAAATGACAAGCTGGAAAACGTTTTGGATGGAATGCAAAGGGGATACCATAAATATACGTCTACATGTACAAACACTCTCTCGACAAGTTGCTGCACGATATACATGCAAAGACACGATCTTGCTGCGTCATCTTCAAAAACAAATTCTTTTCATTGAGTTTAATTGTCGTCGTCCCGGTGTACGTTGGGCGGAGCTTTTGCGGACATTTCAACATGTTGGTGAACTTGTTAACCCTCTACTACGAGGCATTGTTTTTTGTGAACTCTCGCTACCAACCCTGCCACGTGTGACAACAGCATATAAACGTGGCAGGTTAGAGAGTACAAAGAACCATGCTTTGAAGTAAAGGCTTGACAAGTTCACCAACGTGTTGAAATGTTCGCAAAAGCTCCGTCACGTACGCTGGGGAGACGACGATAAATCGGTTATAGCGCACACGATATGACTAAGAATTTAAAGTTTGAACGGACATGAGCTAGGAGGAGCACAATGCAAAGTATGGTGGATAAATTATCCTTCAATCTATGACTAAGAGATGCGAGCATGCTTTGCGTACGTCCGGTTAACATGTTCATGAGTGCGTTCTAACGTGTTTTGCATGATTTAATTTTGGAATTCGTGTAGGAACACGTTCAAGCATTGAAGCGCGAGTTTGAACATGTTCATTCACGAATTCTTGAGGATTGAGTGTGTGTAGGCGCAGGTGGACCAAGAAACAGTAAGAATTATGGAAAACTTCTATGAATAAAGAGCGCGCTTAACTTTTTTTTCAAACAAGATGGGCAATTGCCCACCTAATGCCCAAAAATAGGCAAAACTTCCATTCCACATAAGTTGTTCAAAATTTCAAAATAATCTGTTCCACACCTGAAATTGAGTATATAGTAAGATTTTGTTCCAAAACTCGTCCTCTCCTCCTTGTTGAGATCCGAAATAGCAACGACCCGGTTCTTTTGAGGAGGAAAGCGCTTCAATCGAACAACCTACGAGCTGGTGGGATCAAGTTGGAAATCGTAAACATCGATAATAAAAGGCGAAGTTGTTTCACCAATGCCCATTTGCTGCCCTCGTGCTGGGCCCTGCTCCTTGTATGGTAAGTCAGTTAAGGATGTACTAAGGCTTATTGACTCTGGAGAATCAAGTGATCAACATTATTATCTACTTCATTTCCTCCTTACTATTTATCTCTGGGCTATGTTTCCTTAGCTCGTAAATTTCTCTTATTTTTCTTTCAATATTCGTCAATAAATACGTTACGATATAGAACTGTAACCCTAAAGGATGGCGTGCTTTCGTGGTGTACCTAAGTGTGCGATGTTTAGAGAAACTCTCCATTGAGTTATAGGATGTAGGGTTGACCAACGCCCTCTTGCGCTCATCTTGTCTCAACTAGGGCCTTCCACTCTCTCCTATATACTTTTCTCCGCATCTCTGACATTTCATGAACTGTTACTCGTAAGATACAATTTGCTGATCTTCACAGTATGATCATTCATCGCATTTTTTCAGATTCTCTCATATGATGAAGTTCATTTTAGACTCAATCAAATTCTTCTTCTTCGATACATTTCGTCGTCCTTTTCGTTTCCTTTTCAAAGGGCGATGCACCATTTAGTAGTTCAGCGGCCAACCAAAAAAATACAACACCACGCCAATCGGACCAACTGCATCATATCCAATCGGACATCAACTGCACCAATTAACCTTTAATTCAACTGGCTTGTCCATGGGCCCATTCGTTCCTTTTGCTTCTTTACCTTTCTTGTGGTCCTTTTCAGGGATAACGAGAAGCATTCAAGAATTTCTTATGACACGGCAAAAGGGCCAAAAAATTTAAAAAGCGCGATGTGCACTGTTGTGTGCTCACAAAGCTGAATAGACAACTAAGCATATATTTACGTTTAAAATCGAGAGAATGTTGTCTTTTTCAGGAGTGCTTCTTGTGAGAAAAAGCAAATTGGAAACTTGTCCAATTGGAAGGGGCCCCGAAGATGGAGCTGCGTCCTCGTAATCACGTAATCATCGGTGGATATGCTCTTGGATGTAGTGAGTGATTTGATGTGTTACAGAAAGATGAAGGTTATAAAAGAAGAGAGATCTCTTAATTCATACACAATAGAAAAATTCGAAAGATTTCAACACTCACATCATAATTGGAGAACAACTCAACTTTTCCAACAAGGGGCAATGCGGCGCAAAGCTGCTTTTTGATCTTTTGATTTGATACAGTCTTGTTTACCACTTGAATGATTAAGCAAATGAAATAGACACATCTGACCGAAAGTTGTCTAAGAAATCTCGAATAATCAATACAGTATTATGTTCCTTGACTGGCCCGAAAAAGAGTGGCTTCAAAATAGTTACCATTACCAATGCACGGATCTCAGACGACACATAGGAACATCCGCAGGAGAAGTTGCAGCAGTTCTACGGGGTTTTGTTTTTGAAGATGTGAACTTCACAGAGCTAAAAGCATCGAAAATCGAAAAGTTGCGCAAGATTTTGACGCCACGCTGATCAAAAACGGAAACTTCCGCATCACCTTCCACAAAAGAGTGCTGATCAAAAATGGGAACTTCCGCAGTACATTCCACAAAGGGCTGCGGAAGACACGATTTTAAATGTCCAGCGAAAGTTCCGGTCAACGGTCTAAGATTGGATTCCATTGTATGATTATCTCCACGGAAGTTGTTGACAGCTCAGGCATTGATGCGCCTTAATCAAGCCTAGCGGATTGAAAGATTACACCTATACAACCTAAGTCAGATCAAACCGTGACCTTGTACATCGTCAAGTTTGGTGACAAGCCTGCAGTATTAATGCGATGAACAATGTCATTTACCATGTCCGACCCAGTTTTACAATTTCTCAGCTACTCGATCAGTTCGACGCCTTGAACAATGCTGTTCCGTTTTGTGACACCTTTTAGATAAATTTATTCTGGCATATTCTGAATTTGACAATTAGATCCCCATCCACCAAAGATTTCTAGGCCGATAGAGAAAGAATATCGCATTTTTCGAATTTTTTGAACTGATCTTTGCAGCTCATCTACAGGTTTGCTGTAGCTACTTTTGGAGATATTGTAAGATTTCTAGCTGTGAGGGTTGCTTGAAGCCAGGGGCAAAGTATTCCATTTCCAAATTTCCATTTGTGAACAAATACAGCTCTACTCTAGCATGAAGATCATTTATGTAGCGAGTGTAAGATCCTAATACTTTTGAGTAAAGCTTAAGTCTATAGAAATTTGATTATTTTATTTTTGCCACAGTCAAAGATCTTCAAAGCAGGTTGTTTGAAACTGTTATCTAGAGTCTGATTTACTTCACCGAGCTTCTGCCCAAACCGCATCTCTTGTGGTTCTTGAGCTGAAACACTCAATTCGAACTTTCTCCCAGTACCGTACTCCTTCCAGTCTTCCCAAGGGTCTTCGGCTACTGTAGTGGTCGAGCGTTCATAAATGACTTTATCGGTTGAACAATTATAGGAACTGTCTTTGGGCAATAGCATAGCGGTAGAACCTTTCGATCAGTATCCAACAGGCTGATAAGAAAGTTTTAGAAAATTCAGGCTAGAAATGCTGTTCTTCAAAAAATCAGCGCACAAGCATAAAACTGCAATTTGTCTTTATTTTATTTGAAGCCTTTATAGCTAGAGCAGAAGCTTATTGAGGGTATATTTATATAGCCTCAATAAGCTTCTGCTCTAGCGGCGGCCTATAAAATTCATAGGTGGCCGAGAGATTTAACTCCGAACTCTCTCCCAGTACCGTAATCCTTTAACTCAAACACGTTCAGGATCACTGTAGTGGGTGAGACTTTATGGATGATTTTCTCAGCCACGAATGATTTACAGGAGCTGTCGCTTTAGCAATAAATTAGCTAACAGCTCCAACAATATCCACATAAGAATTCCAGTTAAACCGTTGCTTGAGCAAGTTAAAGTTTAGCTTTTCTGTCTAATCGATCCTATTAAATTCTTCAATTTCATTCCAATGATGGGGAAGCATTCAGTTAAGTCTGGATTTTGGAAGCTTTAATCTTATGTTTGTATGATAATTTGTGTTGTGAGTATGTAATTATTTAGGGTAATGGCCTGGCAATATCTGCCTCGATTTCTAGTCTTTGTGGCTCTTCTCGCAAGTCCAGCTTACTGCCAGAATTGTAACAATGCACCCACTGAAGCTCTGCAAATCATTTGTAGCCAAATAGCCGCATGGAATGCAAACGCCAGGGTCAGCAAACTTGCTCCAACCCCAACTAAGAGTTCAATTCCGATTTCTGTTCAGAACCAACCTACAATCTCAACTGCGTCTGTGGCAGCCCCAGGAGGTGCTGGCGGTGGGATAAGCACTCTGGCTGTTTCGGAAAATCCTAGAACCGCCTATGAATGCATGGATATCGCGTGTCTATGTACTTTCTTTGGTGGTACCGGCGGAAATAACTGTGTTCTGCCCGGCGGAGCTCGCTTGGGACGTGCATTACGCAAGGAGTATCGCGTGATGACAGATGCGGAGAGAAATAGGTGGGATGAAGTATGAACGAGTCAGCGCAAACGGAGACTGGTGAATTGCATCCGACTGAGAGAGTACGTGATTGAAAGAGACATCAGGCGGCAAGATAGATGAGAGTACGCATATTTCGAGAGACGCAGAGCGGTGGCGCAGCGCCGGGCGTCTTGTCTCTGCGTGCAATGCCTCATTTATAAAATCAATAAAACCTAGGTTCATATCCGTCCTTTAAGGTATCATACTGCTATGTGGACTATCAAAGGCAATGGTGACTACGATACCTTGTCAAGAATTCATTCCTCATTCGTCACCTCACCTGGAGCGCATTCTGGACCAGCTTTTTTGCCATGGCATCGAGAGTTCATCAAGAGGTTTGCTATTTTGGATACAAGGTGTTCGAAAATAGCGAAAATAGCGGTACAAAACCTGCCCTTTGACCGTTGCTGCTTCGAAAAGTCCTTTTCGAGCTTTTAAGCCACCCAATTATCAACTATTTGTATGATATTCAGAGCGTTCATATATTTATAGATAATTTATAGATTTATGTGCAATTTCTGTGCACTGCGAATTCGTAGCTTTCGATCACAAATCGAGTGGTAAAGCCTTATAGAACACCTTTGTAAGCGGTACGATAGAGTTACAACAGGAATGTGAAACTGTAAAACTTTGAGTGTCCACTCATGTGCAATGCAGTTATTTTCCACGACTTTGACAAACCATTTTTGCATCATTGCAACCCTATATAGGACAAATTTTCTGCTAAATCGAAAAAATAGAACTAGCTGGAATCACAGAATTTTCAAATATTGTATCACAAGATCCCTCTTAGACTTGCTTCCGTAGCCCGTGTTAGCGCCGTGCGCTGTGCCTGAGCTTGGATCGATCAATACGAAGAGCGCCCAAAGCGGGCTCCGACACGACGCTAGCACGGCGCTGGCCGGCACTCGTATGCGTGCAACACTAGACGCTGTCCTAATATGGCAAGTGTACGGTAAGACATTGATAGCTGTACAATTGCCATCTATTGTCGTTGTGAAAGGCGATTCCCTTATCATATACCTACGGGAACTGTCTGGTTACTGGCAATACGTCAGAATTGTCTCGTTCAGCTGTAGAATTTCTTTTTAGATTTTAGAATGTTTACAGTGAAGAGACTGGGACTAGGCCATCGATATTCGCTCATTCACCCTATAGAAAATTGTAGTATGCCGGCTCCCGCCACTCTTCAAGTTACCGGGATGGAGTAGTAAATACTATATCGCAAATATCATACAATTTGAATGTGATATTGTTGACTGCACGAAATGAAAAACCGGGCTGAACACCGGCGTGCGGTCTCTTGCCGGCTAACATTGACATTAGCGCGCATGAGTTATAGCCCATACTCGGCAGCCGCGTTGCAGACAGGCTCGCTTGCGTTCAGCCTTCAGCGACCCGGGCAATTTCGTGCAGTCGACTTTAACATTCTCAAATCTCGAATTCGTAGTTTACCAGAAATAAATCAAGATCCAACCTAACAAGCTGTAGCACTGTTTTTCGCAACTTCTCACAAAGTCAACAAATTTTGTGCAAAATGGACCGCAGCGTCGGACTATTTGGTCTCCCATAACATAGTTTTCAGAATCGAAATTGCTTTGCGTCGAGTTGATCCTTCAGTAGCCTTACCATACTGGGACTCTACAATGGATTCGACTATACCAAATCCAACCGAATCGTCTATGTTCACGAATGAATTGCAAGGTCGAACATCACCGGATGGTTTGATTGCAACTGGAGCATTCAGAGGATGGCGTACTGTAGATGTATGGTTACCGAAAACCTTTGGTAAATTACGGAAAATTTGTTTTTCTAGAATTCGAGAGTTTTCCGAAGGAGTATTGGGTCACAAGGTAGACTATTCGTGGAATCCGATATCACTGCCGTATTGAATACCAATGATTACACTCAAGTGCTTGCGTATACTGCTCCGAGCAATGTAGGTCAAATATTAGAAAATTTTGAACAAATGTGAAATTTTATCCACTAGGGCTGCCCTAACCCAGCAAACTGGGCAGCATTCGAGTATTCACATGGAAATCCTCATATCTGGATAGGAGGTAGGCTATTTTATCATTAAAAGTAAAGCTTAACAAGGGCCAAAATTTTGTTTTTAGGTGACATGTTTACGCCAACAACATCAACAAATGATCCAATTTTCTGGAACCATCACTCTTTCGTCGATTTGATTTGGGAAAATTGGAGGCAAGCTCGACAGGTAAATTATTTTACTCAGTGCAATTCATAATATAAAATTTTTCGAAATTCAAAAACCACGGAAAACTTTATTGCAGAAAAGGTGACCTTATTTGCAAAATTGTAGGAACAACGTTTTTCCGTTTAAGCCATCTTCAGTGTAGGCTGCGTTCAGAGTTGCCGCGCATCAGTCCATGCCAGCGCCAATGTGGACACGCTCAGCATTGATCGATTGATGGCGCTGGCACGGCGCGGGCACGAGGCAGCTCTGAACGCAGCCCAATTGCTAGAAATTCCCACGGAGAATATGGAACTCTTGAACACCACACTGAGCTAAAAAAGCAAACACTTGATAATGATTTTAATAATGAATACGAAATTCTTCAGCCCTTCCTCTCATTTGCAGCAAACTTCTGTTCAGAGTAGAGCTGCTCGAGAATCGCAATATCCACCGAATAATCCTCAGTGCAGCAGTGAAGCCCATTATGGAAACAATATTATGCAACCGTTCTTCCCTATGACCAACCGTGATGGATTGCTGAACTCATATACAGGTAAAAAAATATTTTTCGTAACAAATGTGATCGATAACAAACTTTTGAAATTTCTATAATGTAATTTATGCAAATATTTTCTTGACAAGGTGTGTGCAGTGGAATAAGTGAACTCAATTTTTTCAAAGTGGGAGTTCATAGTCAGATGGAAATTTTGGTAGGAGGGTCGGCGGACAGTTTCTGTTATGCCTTCACATTGTACATTTTATTAGCATTACAAAGCTTCCTGAAATTACGTAAATTATTTTCGGACTTTCCCTATCATCTTCAAGATGCAATAATAGGCAGAATTTTCGGACATTTTACAACTTTTTGCTATTTATTCCACTTGTCGTTTTCGAGATGCTAAAAGCATTAGAATGCCGCTATAGAAGGGAAAGTGCCGAATTGCACCCTGAGAAAATTATAGTAGAAGAAAATCATAGGAGAGGCCAAGAAAATCGAAAGAAAGGAGGCAAAAATTCCGTTTATGTCGTGAATTTGCTGGCTATGTGCGCAATTGCGGTATCGATTATGTCTTGGGAAGATACCGTCAGCTTCAGGTCTAGATTGTTCCAAACTCAAAAAAGTATAACCAAATTATCCGTCAACCTATACGACGTAATTGATATTAATAATTAATTGATGTTCATAAAAAACGCCATAGGGAAGCTTTATATGCACGAGTTTAGATAATCTCTACACTTTCCAAGCAAGACCTACTTGTTCGGCTGGGAACCCTGCTGGATGTGGATCTAGGTGGGTACTAACAATAAGCATCACATTCATTCTCCCTTGAAAGCTACCTGTTAGATTTATAGTAAACAAACAGATAATCAAATTAATAAAAGATCGCATGCCAGGTTCCTCTTCTGTGATTTATCTCATGGCGCTCCAAGGTGTGCTGCGAAAATAGCTGTTAATGGAAACTGTGGAGGTTATACCAGAAGTAAGCGTAGTAAATCTGCTAATTAATGGACCATTAACTCGAATTTAGATGAGGATCGGTGCTATCTCAGTGTTTGTCAAAATAATCGTTGTATATCCACTCAGGTAAGACGTTAGATTTCTTTTTGGCACCCAAAAGCTAGACTTCTTTTTCTTTTCTTCAACGGGGAAAATCCAGATGTGTTGTTAAGGAAAGTCTGTTAGAATCCTAAACCACCATAACCACTCAATTATCATAATTACTTTTGAGTTATTAAGGCCACTTCCGTCATTTTATGAGATGCAAACATATTTTTTACAGAATCCTCCTGCCACCACTCAACCACCTATTGTTACTACAACTCCAGCTGGTCAAAATCAAGAGGTAAACTTCTCTTTGCTTTGATCACCAATGAATGAATTGTTATGGATTAAAAAAGAAAAGTCATAACACCTCAAAGAAAGAGCGTTTCCGAGAAACACCTTACATCCAATTTTTTTCAAAAACACAAATAAAACTGAGAAACCTTGCGTATGGAAAAATGATCTAATCTACTCCATCCAAGACCTGAATTTTCCCACTTTATGAGAAGAACCTTTTTCGGATGAGCTTAAGCGCAGAAAACCATGCAAATCCATCCATAAAAAATGTTTTTTCACTTTCTGTAGCGCTCCAAACACACTTGATCAACCACTACCATAACCTCTACCATTTGTGGTGAAGCTAGCCTTTATAATTTTTCTGAATATCAAGGCATTCTAATAGGTTTTATCATTAAAATGTAGGAAGAGAGAACGAACAAAAGTTTGAAAATATTGTCGAATCAATTGTAACCTAAATGCTTGCACGGGGCAGACGCTAAATCACGTCAGATCTAATTAGAACCTGCTACTTCACGTTTCAGTTTGGTTGGATGAATTTAAAATATCAGTTTCATCACAATTTGTTCCGCTTAAAGGCCCCAACTGATCAGTTATTAACAAGATGTCGTCAGTTAGCGCGCGGAGTGTGCAGGCTCACACATTAAGTTACGAATGACTTGCGCATAACTTCTAAGCCCTTTGCCCTGCTTCCCACTCAGCTTCAACCAAATTTCTCACCTCATCTACCTCAAAGTCACTAAATCGATGATTGAGGCTTACCAGTAATTTCAAATGTTTTAGACTTGCTTCAATGAGCAACAGTGCTGTTCCATATGGGCTGCCAGAGGAGAATGCCAACGAAATCCCAATTACATGAATAGTTGGTGTAGAGCCAGTTGTGGTATCTGTCGTCCAACCACTTACAATCTTAACACGGGTGAGCGCTCGAGAAAATTATTTGTTCAAAAAATTGAAAAAAAAATGTGTTTAGAATGTTCTAATCGTCATCCCACATGTCAAGCATGGGCTGCTCGTGGGGAATGTCAAAATAATCCCGCTTGGATGACAGAAAATTGTAGACAAGCATGTAATTTGTGTGGAACTACAAGAGCACAAGCCTGTGGTCAAGGAGGGGGTAAGTTTTTTTTTTTTTGGGGGGGGGGGGCTGAATATGGTTCTACTCCCAAATCAAAATAAAGCACTTCGACTTCTAGGCAACCCAACAACAACGCAACGACCACCTCCAGCAGGTGCGCCTTTTCCTCTCGTTTTTCAGTTGTTCTGAAAAAATCGATAAAATCAATAACAATTTTAGGGCAATTTACATGTCTCAATCAACATTACTGCTGTATTGCTTGGGCAGCTCGTGGATACTGTACCAGTCAAACAGCCTATATGAATCAGTACTGTCAACCGTCTTGTAATTTCTGTCGAGGATCACAGCCACCGCCGCTGTGGAACTCCCAGAGTGGGTAGACCACGTCCACCGATCAATAATTTGGGATAGGCGCGGGAGGTTCAAATTGATGTTTCAGCTTGCGTCGACTTCAGCTCGAATTGTCAGGCATGGGCTAGTCAAGGTCAATGTAATTCTAATCAACAATATATGTGGGAAAATTGTAAACAGACGTGCGGGTACGTTTGAAAACGTCCTAATCGATAAGATCGATATCATAGGATTTTCACAAAACGCTCCAAAATGAGCGAATTTTATATTTTTTTGTATTCAGACGTTGCGCTCTAACCAATCTCAACACTCGTCTGGCCACCTGTGGGTTTACAAGACGGCTTTCACGCAATGGGCGCCCTATTTCTACCTTCCGAGTGAACCCGTTCCATTTACCACTAAGAAGACAGTCTTCTCTGGTCTCGCTAGCACCTGCTCCTGCGACAGGAGCTTCTCTGGCGCCACCGCCCCTAAACAGAAAAGCCCTCCCAAAAGCTCGATTAAGTAGAAGGTATGTATTGTATGGATGAGGGAAGCGAAGTGATTTGGGCTTCAACTTGCGTTATTTTAGGCCAGCACAACGTGAGAGATTGCTGAGGCCATCGGGAATGGCTGTTTTTTGAACAGCTCGATCACGCAATGCAAAATCCATTCGTTGCGGTGCGGTAAAAACTTTTAATTTATGCTAATAAATTGACTATTGGTTTGGACAACCAGAAAGAAATAACACAAGACATCATTGATAAATTTGATCATGGAAACACGGACTTTACACATGTATTCGCTAAATTGCTGCAAAAATTCTTGCTTACGTCAAAGGAAATTCAATAATTTTGTATCTCAAAAAAGAAGTATATTTGCACTATGCGACATTCAAGTGATCGCAGATTTTCGTTTGCCAGCCCTGGAGAAACAAATTTTCAGAAACGGCACTCAAATTTTGTGATTCTACTTGATAAATACTATGTTGCCGCCAACTATCCCAAAGAATCTGAAAATTCCCTTACATAGCAATAGCCCATGTACAGCCCAATATCATACATTACTGTAACGGGTTTCAGAAAAACAAAAAAATCTAAAAAAGTTCATTCTGCAGGGAAAACCCCCTCTATTACCGCATATTTCAAATAAACCCAGCTCGAGGCTAAGGATTTGACCTATAGCTTTCACCTGAAGTACTGTGACGTTGTGCAAGCGTCAAACTATGATTTCGTCGAGACAGTGATTATTGGATTTTTCTTGCGGAGATCTTTTATTGAAGATTTTATTCTGCAAAGTGCCAAATTAAATTTCGCCACAGTAATTGTGGAGGAACTGTTAGGCAGAAACTCTCACAGGTTTTTTGAAACAGCTACGACGCTCTATATTTTTTGCAAGCATACAAAATGGTGAGAGCGGATGTGCCATCTTTGCAAGCTTGTTCCTCCACGGCTAGGCGGAGAAAAGCTGAGTATGGTGGATAAGCTTTGAATAACTATCGTAAAACGTAAATATTTTCCGTCTGTGGAAAAACCGTGAATTTAGGTTGTAACTCAATGCATTTCTTTGAAATACGCAAAAACTTTTGCATAGGCCTAATGCATTTGGTATGCTTCTGTTATGTAGAAAAAAGCAAAATTCAGCTGCGGGGACAATGTTCGAAAAGCCTAAATCAAAATGCTGAATTAACAACGTTGTAACACCATGAAAGCAGCTCAAGGATGAATTTAAAAGTTGATATACTAGCGAGTACATAAAAAAGACTACTGTGCATTCCTAAACGTCGTTTCTGATGGATAATGAATCAGTCAAATACGCCAGCACTCTTGTCTTTTTACATCTTATCTTCCAAAGATCTGTTGTTGGAGGTTACATCTCAACGCCTCAGAAGAATTGATATTTTTTGAGCACAATGTCATTCTCAGATGCGGCACTGATTTCTACAGCAATGAAATAGTACCTACTCAGACAACTGGCCGGAACTTCCGCGAACGTTTGAGGAAGTTCCGCCGGATCACCTTCGGAAGTTCGTAAACGTGCTGCGGAAGCTCCCAAACGAGGTGCTGCGGAAGTTCCGAGGAATGCGAACCACAACAGCTGAAGAGAACACCTAAGCGAGATTTGAACCTTACTCTATTGACTGTGAGGCTCACCTACTATCCTCTGCACTATGGCTGATATGTTCGATAATGTACTCTAATTGTTGGCGAGAAACATCATACGAGACCGAACATTCAAAATCCTGCGGAAGTACTGGCATGTCAAAGTGCTGCGAAACCGCCGCCGTTTTTCGGAAGTTCCGCAGCGATTTATAAAAAGTCCTGCAGAAGTTTCCGTTTTCAACCGGTCTGACGTAAATTCTGCGGAAGTTCCCATTTTCAACGTTTCCACTTTTGCAGTGGTAAACAAAATCCTGCGGAACCGCTAAAAAATTTGTTTGTCCTGCGGAAGTTCCAGTGAATTGCCTAAGTAGTCTTCTCCGCAGTAATTTAACTCTATTTTCAAGCGTTTCTTTTCATTAAAGCCGCTAGGTGGCATATTCATTCTGATGAGAAAATCGCGGCAACGACGTCTATATTCAGACTTACTTCGTCTTAGTGATTACCAGCTGTAGCTGTACAGATACTGTGCAAAGGTTGGAAACTTCGTTGGTTTGATTATTTGCGATCATGGTTACTTAAATATGGCATTTACATCAACAGAACTGACAGCAAGCATAGAAGTTATTTTTATCAATTAGAAAGATCAAAATGAGTCGTAAAAAAAGATACATACATGCATACAACCCAACCGTAATCAAAGGCACAAACGCTTAGTCTCGCTCACGGGAGACAATATTCTTGATCTATGGCAAACCAATATAACCATTAGGCACATTCGAGATACGGTAATTCTACTATTTTATCTGGAATCAACTATGCTCTGCATGAAGCTATTACACACCAAGCTGCGCTTGAAAAAGGATTGACCAATGGCCATCGAGTCGCCTTATTGGTAGTTGCTATTGGTGCAAAGAATTATGCCAACACAGGGTGACACACATTCAAAATATGAAAAATGTTAACTGAGGTCTTTCACGGAACAGTTCATACTGCAAATTGATCTAAGGAACTTGGCAAGTGTCCAAAACTGAAAGAGACCAGCGGGTAGAGACGCAGAGGAGGAAACTGTACAACGCGTCAAAGAGATGAAAATACGGTAATTCGAAAATGTTAGACACCGGCTACTGTATTGACTAAAGCAATTTTTTCGCACGTGTCTCGTACTACCCAAGTGCAAGCAATGTCTGCAGTCCGTGAAATTGCGTATTCTGCACAACATGCTGCGTTGCCATCGAGGATACGGTGCATTCGGGCGAACTGAAAGAAGTAAAGCATTGATTTCTCTAACTGCAACAAATGAGATATTGGTTTTACAATCTGCAACAGTGGAATATCAGTTTTTGAAAGTAAGAAATAAAATGTCGATTTTTCAAACTGCAACAAATAATATTGATTTTTCAGGCTTCAACAGATAGAATATTGATTTCACAAACTACAGCAAACGAGATATTGATTTTTATAAACAACAACGAATGAGTTATTGATTTTTCATAGTCTCCAAAATTTTTGTTCGTTCTAAACCTTCTATTAATTTTTTGGATAAAACTGATTTTCTTACCTTGAAGACCGCCTTCCACTTGGGGACATCATGAATTTCGGGAGCTGCTAACTTATTGGTAAGGACCACGGCTCCCAAATCCCTTATAATTCCCCGAAGAGCCTCATGGGAAGCCGGACAGCGTGAATCATCCCAGCATCGAATCATTCGTACGTAAGAATCAACCTGGAAGGGCGATTACAGTATGCTACCTCTTCTGTGGTGATCGATAAACTTACATCTTGCACTATCATAGCACCAGATTTCCGCCGAGGATCAGCAATAACGTAGTCAAGCGAAGAGTACGGTAGTGTTACGGTTTTGTCCGTGACTGCGACAAGCTGGATGCCGGATGAACCTGCTACTTCAACCGGAACTGTCCAGAGCTCATCGGTCAATTGCTACAAACAAGTGATTTATAGTGCCTAAAGCTTCTAAAAACAATTTTTCAAAAAATAAATTCTGGTTTTCCGAAGTTTGAAGAAATTTTAGGATAGGCTGACTTCTTCTTGAGATATTGTTGATTTATTATCCAGCTTCATCCAAAATTTGTCGGGAACATTACCTACCTCGAACTGTAGCGTTAGTGACTTTACTTGCAGGTGCAAAATTGGACGAGTTTTCCGTGTAAACCATTCTGATAGCATTTGTCCTGCAATACACTGATTATCGCAATGCTAGACTTTATCCATCAATCATCAATGAATTTTCAACACACTTTTCCCAAACGGCTGAATATATTTCAAAACAATTTTTCCACGAGAATTGCTAAACTAACCTGCGTAATAATTGCCAGTAGAGTCTACAAGTGCTTGTTGCCAGTCCGCGATGTTGGTCACAGAATACGCGAATTTTCGGAAGACCTGGATGAATGGATTATTTTAATGCGACGTAATAAAATTAGAGTAAAAAGATACGAAGTGAAACCGACCAGCTTCAAAACGTTGATCATGGTATCCTGTCCGAATGTCTCATCGATAGAGTAGAAAATGGATACAAATCGTTCTGGGCAGGACTGCATTGTCTGAAACATAAGAGTCAGATTTTAAGTTGTGAGAATACATTGTCCAATTTCAAAAAAATTACAGAGATTGCCTAAAATAGCAAATAAAGTATAAGAGCTTTCGATTCATCAAACAGTTGAGGTCAGTAGAAGATAATCTATGATCGTGTTAGGTTGGCTAATAAATAAGTTCGGTCGCTTATTCAGCTCTTACAAATGCTGTAGACAAAGTTTTGTTCAATGTTTGGTATCTCTGAAAAGAGCAATTCACTGAGTATTGGAGCATATATTCTGCTTGAGTAAAACTTATACTCCCAGAAAAAAATCCGCAAAGAAGTGAAAAATCGCATTTTTCCCATAATGCGCAAATACGAGGAGATTTGGTTTTCTTGGTGAAACATTTTCAAAATGGCAGATCACAGTTCTTTTTGTTATTCACTAAATAGGGATGACTCCTCTGTATCCAAACACCAAACTGCTGTTCTTTACATCTATTACAGCATGAAAACGAAGCTCAAGAAATCAAAGAATTGAGTTTTTGGAAATTTCGCCATGTTGAGACATAACTGTCTTTACTGACGACAGAAAATCCTGATTATTTGATAAGTAATAGAGAAAGATTCGAACTACTTTCCCACAAAGAATCATAGATTGAAAACAACAAGAAAATTTTTTATGACAATTTGTATGCCAAAATGAACTTTTTAGCCAACCAATAATTGATTTAAATTCTGGGTTGAATAGATAGAAGAACCTACGGTATAAAAAAATGGATCTCTTCACGAGAATTTTCCTTTACGCAAAATCTAAAAATTGATCGTGAATTTGTGTTCTACATTATTCTGCCAGAATAAAAATTTGTGATTTGTCGGAGGTTCGGACTTTTCGATTTTACTGCAACTTAAAATAGAATAGTAAAACTCCCATTTGAGCCTCCCGACTGAAATTGCCTTGTTTGAACAGAAAATTAAGAAGATTGGATTATATTTTAGTTCCTTTGCGAACTTTATGAATTCACATTATTTAGAAGTAGTTTGTTCAAACAATTCTAAGCCTAATTATATCTTCTGACTTTTTCGTGTATTGAACAAACAACTCTATCTTTTTGTTTTTTTTTCGTTGTGTTACTTTTGTTTGCTTTTTATGTACTTTGCTTTTTTTGTAAAAATAGATTCATTGGCTATAACTCACCTCCAAGGATCGCAGCATTCGTGGTTCATCTCGCCCCTCAGCGGTCAGATCTCTTGGCCGGATCGCTTCGATCTCTCCCGCTCGTGTTTTGTTCACAATTCCCACTTGCTCATTGAGTTTCCATTCCAAATACGTTGTCAGTGACTCCTAAAAATGTCCCCGCATTATTTCTACCAGCAGTAGTCCCCCTAGTGGAGCATCTGTTCTAGCCAGGAGCAATTGTTCTCGGCTCGGTGCGATCTGTTATGGCAGGTCGTGTCATGAAACGCCGCTTACGCCACTGTGCCCCGACTGTGCGCCAGACGTCGACGGGGCCCCGCGAGGCCCCGTCCAGGTTGACAACAAATACCGCCACTTTAGTGAGCAGATCACCCAGCGGCTTCATTTACATGCACTTGGCGATACGACCGTTTTATGAGCGTTTTATTGAGTGGTTTTGTCGGTTTTTGAGTGGTTTGCTAGGTTGAGGTCAGCTCGCCAGATCTTCGTTGGTTGGAGAGTTGTCATAGAAAATATGGTAGAGATTCCAGACTCTTTGTTCAAAATATTAAAAAGAAAGTTTGACATTGTAGGAAATGGTTTACGGAGGATTCAACCTAAGAATTCTGTCGAAGCTTTGCACAATTTCGCACAATCAGAAATCTTTTTACACAAAGAATTTGCTATGGATCAAAAAATTTGTGAATTAAGGCTGGCGGTAAAAAACAGGCAATGAGTAGTTTGTGAGTGGATTTTAGAATATTGAAAATTGTAATTGTTCAACATAGAAACATGCCCGCCAAAACTTTATTTTTGATCAAAGTCCTTGGAAATGAGCAAAAAATTTTTACTAAGAATAATGAGTTCGATTTTACAATAACAATCGCAGAATAATTTTCAATGAAAGAATAGTTATTCAATAAACCTGGCTTCTAACAAATTCTTATCTTATCGAAAAGAGAAAAACGGTTAGTGTTCTATTGAGTAGCTTATTTGCTACTATAGAAAAAATAATCTACCATGTGAGTAGCGTGAGTAGCTTCGCCTTTTTATGAAAAATAGAGCATTTTTCAAATCCCGCTAAAACATTGCCCAGGTCGTGCAAAGAATAATCCAAGTTTGGGTACTGACCCCACATCAAAAAAGTTTTGAAAATGAAATCTGCAAACATTGAAAAAAGAAGTTGGATCTCGCAGCAAATTTTCATTAGAAAACATCCGATATTTTGAAGGAAACAATTATCAAAAGTTAAAATGTGTTCTAAAGGCCTTATGAAGTTTTTATCTTTATAAACATTATTAGAGGGCTTAACGATTACTACAAAATTTTCAAGACAAAAATAGGTTATGATATTAGATGTGCATAATCGCTTGAAAATATACGTCGGTATTTCAGGAAAGGTTATCGGCCACATCAAGCTCTTTACCCCTTCAGAACTCCAGAACTAATCCTACTATTGCTCCGGATTATTACGCATGTTTATCTTTACACACTTCCGCCTCAATGACCACTTGAGGTACCAATAAGACTATATAGCCAATATTTACACAAGTTACGTCTTAAGCACACTATTACACGACTAAATTGGGTGTGAAATTGTAGAGATTGATTACAGTAAAGTAATACTCTCCTAGGTGTCAAGCGTCATGATCTATGGCCCTGTCCGTGCTAATTTTCTGTTTTCATCTCTCTCTCGGAGGTCATTCGACCTGCTCGGTGCCCTCGCGGACGAGATCACTGTCGAGGAACAGTTGTCGTCAGAGTGTTGGTTTGGAGATTATGCGAAATACGATGCATCATATCCGCGCTTATTACAATCACTCTTCTCTTCTTCTGCTATGTGCGTAAACAACCGTAAGTGTAGCCCCCACACAGGGCCACTTGAAGGATTTTGATTGGGAAAATTTTCCCTTAGGGAAGTTGGAAAGAGAAAGGGAAGGAACTCACCGCAAAGCATGATTCTTCCGCTGTAGACATGGAAATGATCCCGGAAAGCCATTGTTGGATGACAGATTGGATAAGAGAGACATGGGCCAGGGTGTAGGATGGGTGTTCAACGAGGCGATCCTAAAAATTTGGAAAATTAGGGACGAGGCTAAATTAGCCTTAGAAAATTCTCACGCAAGTGTCGGCCCAGTATTTGTTTTCAAAAAATCCACAACAAACATTTTCGATATTTTTTGCAACGATTTGTGCAGAATATAGATTCAAGAAAATTTAAGTTGTACGAGTTTTCAGTGTTGCTTGCGGATGGACGAGTTTTCACAACCTATTAGTATTGTCATCTGCGTAGAGACCCTATCCTATAGAAGATAAATTCAAAGGAGGGGAAAAGTATCTCAAAAAAATTTGGTGGGTTCAGTTCACCATTCACATTCAAAAAAATCCTCAGAAAACTCATAACCAATTTTTTTCAACCTGAACTATGCGAAAATTGCAGTAATTTTTAGTGAAAATTTGATTTGTGCAAGTTTTCTATGTATTTTGGACGAGTTTTCACAACTCTGATTGCTCTTACCTGCAGCGTAATGAGTCCTAGCGCTGAATGAGATGAAGCACGAATGGGGGCTGAAACCAGCTTCAGGGCTTCCAATGGATACGGGAAACTCGTCCACTGGCTCATTAGTGAGATCACCTGCAAATGATTTCAACATTTTTGGAAAGGTATAATAAAATCTTGACTCCACCCACTTTTGAGGCCTCGTTGTAGATCCATTCATGCTTTTCGCGCTTGAAGTTTTTATTCAACGAGAAAACGATTTCCACAGCTGGGATAGTAACGCCATCTAGGGTGGTCCGATTGTAGATCAAACTTTCAGCCTGAAACAACATCATGAAAATTTTGTTTATCATCAGGCAAGCAATATGATCAACAAATCGATTATCGATCATTTCACCTTCTCGAAAGCTGCGAAAGCCATTTGCTGAGTAGACAAAGGAACGCTCCGCTCGAAGCATGTGACCCCTTCGACGACTGATTTAGTGGCAGCATTAGAGCGAACATGTCCAGATGGAGTGAATTTCACGCAAAGATCGAGGGAAGCCTGAAATGAAACTTTTGAAATTGTAAAACTGTGTTGAGATGGGCGAAAACTGGTCCTCAGCAATGTTGGATCAAACTCGTTCGAATTTCAGTATTACGTCTATAAATGCGTTTATGACATGTTCAAAAAGCGTTATGAACGGCGGTGTGTCATGACTGGGGACCAGTTTTCGCACAATCTAGCACAACTACCTTATAGGCTGGGCTATCCAGAGCTGGGAAGATCTTCTTAGCTGAGCCAGGTGTCAACAATGAGCCAACCATTATGGGAGCATTTCTGTTCCAGCGTGGAGCTATCTGAAAATCAATAAAAATAGTTTGTGTTGTAAAGGGAGAAAATTCCATACCTGTGCATAAGTGGCATCACGATTGCTGACTGATGTGAACTTGCGGACATCGACGCGGAGATTGGTGTTCTTAAAATATTGAAATTTATAATATGATTCGAAAAAATGTTTAACAGATTATCAAGACTTTTGTTCTTATGGTTTTTTGTAATTCAATTTGCAAAAAATGCAAATCAAACAGAAATTTTTCACGTAAAATAGCACGGATGTAAGATATGGGAGAAACTGTTCGGAAATTTTTAATTTTCCAAGAGTTTGGATCATTCTGTTGAAAAGAATATTATTAATACACAAATAGTGAACCAGTAATTTAAAAGTGCTAGATCTGATAGCTTTCACTTTGGGACCCTCCGCGGTTTCCCGCTCTCCGAAGTTTTTTATTGGCGTTACGATTCTTTTATTAGTTCATTCATTATATTAACGTCATGTTCGATGTTTCTTATCAATGACTGTGCAATGAAATTATTTATTGTTTAAAGATAAATGCTATAAACCTGGAAACTAAATTTTATATGCCTCCATGAATTTTCAAATTCAAAAACTTACCGATTGCACATTTTCAAACAGAATCAATGACAGACGTTGTTCCCTCTGGTCAAACACGGTTTTTGTCACACATAGAGTTTCACCTGCAAATTTAAAATTCATTACTTGATTTTTCAGTTCAGGGGCTATTCTAGTGGAAATGTTGCAAATGGCCTCGGTGGCTGGCACTTCCACCTATATAGATTTTGAAAAATTAGTTATTGATGGGGCTTCACATTATTTTCAAGAAAAACAGCGATAAGTTCGGGCTCATGTCATAAAACGTTTTGATAGGTTGGAGAGGGCCATATGTTTAGTTTAGGGGGTGGGGGGAAGAGGCCTCTATCAGAGAATGGAAATTACAAAGGGTCTTTCAATAAAAAATGAAGCATGTAGTCACCAAATATGATATTTTTTTCGCATTTTTTCGCCTCACCACCCCCCCCCCCCTCGCCCTCCTTCCGAAACTGTCAGACCCCGTTCATCCCCTAAAATATGGTATAGCAAATAGAACGCGCATCATTTGTTCGCGCGCCAGTTCGGCGATGGCAGCTGTTGGCCCTCAGTGAGTCAGCGGATAGCCAGGCGCGGTTCCCCTGAAATGCGAGCCGATCCTGCCACCTTTGGTCGGCTCCCTTTGCTTTTTCTATGCGTTCGCATTTATACGATAGTTACGAGAAACTTTACTACTGAAAGTCTGCTGCGAATGTTGGGGGAGGGGGGGGGGGGAGGAAGGGGGAGGGGTATCATAATAGATTCCGTAGCAGTCATTTGTGGTCTACTTTTCTCTCTCGCAGTAAATGTGAAGGACAAGAGGCAAATATTACATACAAAGTTACAATAGCAGAACAAAATGTGTAACATGAGCTATCGACCCGAACTTCCGCGGAAGTTCCTGCGGAAGTTCCACAGGATTTTGATCACTGTTGAATACAAACGCCGTAGAAAAGGGATATCACGGATATTTAGGAGAATGTCTTTGGCAGTGACTATTGATAACCATTTTGAAAAGCTATTGGGAGTCGGAACTTCCGCAACACTTACTGGTACTTCTGCGGAACTTCCGAACTGTCATGTTAGTCAAATCGAAAACTGGAACTAATTGATGGCATTTAAGCCTATGGTACTGTAAAAATATAGCATGAGCAAATGCTGTGAAATTTTGTAATTCAAGCGAGATAACACTTCAAAAAAATTTTGAAACAATTTTTGCCGAGCCTGAAAAGCGGAGTGATTCTGCTCTTAATATCATAACGACAAGGTGCAATTACATTAGTGGTCTTTTCCTAATAGCCTTAAGAGGCGATTAATTGCTGGAAAAGTCGTATCAGCACAATAAATATTAGGTTGTCCGGAAATTAACGTCCGTTTTTCTAGGCCTAGATTCCAAACAACTTTTTTTCGTCAAACTTTCTATTACGATATAGAATCTGCACATCATTGGAAAGCTTTCTCCATGTACTTTCTAACGGTGGTGGAAATAAGCTGCTATCCTCATCTGTGAGAATTTCACCAGCATTTTGCACATCCACATTCAAAATCGAAATTTCATAGCTTTCAGTTTCTTGACCACAATTCAGGAGCAAATAAACGAATTCTTCTGAAAACGTAGCAACTGTATTAGATGAAGATTGTTTACCTACTGCATGCTCATCTAGATTTTTGGAGATAACTGGACTGAGAAATTGACGCCTCGAAATAGATAATTACTGCTGGCATTCTACGGGTCAGAAATTTCTCATAATTAAGGCAATCGCCAAAGCTTTGCCCAGTTCTGTAAGCTTGAGATAAGCACACCTTAACTACAATATCTGAAGAGAAACTTGACTATTCAGTGCAAGAAGAATTCCACATTTTCGTAATTTGGCACTCACAAGCCTACAAGAAATAGGCTCAAAAAAGTGAACATTTTTGAATTTTATCTTTTCTTTTCGCACAACTCCTTCTTTGGAGTCTTTTCTATACATACGTAAACACGTGGCCTGCGGCTACAAAATAAGCTGATTGGCAGCCATACGAACACAACTTGAAGGGAGTTGTAAGCTCTCAAAGAAGAGGTTTTCAAAAGAAAAATTTCCACTTTTTTTAACGCATGGTTTTCTTCCCGTTTGCGATATCAGTACGAGCAGGTGCGCGCTAAATTACGAAAGGTTTGCTGTTTCTGATGATCTTGACTGCATTCAAAAATATGAAGAATGAACGAAGTTATAGCCTTCCAAAGTGAAAATTTGCAAAACGGACATTAATTTCCGGACAACCTAACCTACTACGTTATTTCATGGGGTAATCTTCTCAAAGACGATGAAATTTTGTCATGAATAAAAATATTCAGAATTTATATAGGTAATGAAGCATTCTATAGTGATGCTTTACTATGATGATCTTGTTTTACATTTCTGTAGATCAATGATTTAGAGGAGGACTGGGAAATAGATCTTGGAATGGGGGGGCCTTAGGTGCCTTATAACGTCTAGTTGTAGGCGACGCAAGTAGCTTTTGAATTTTTTGAGCTAACCTCAAAAAGTGTCGAGAATGGGGACAAAACTGTGGACAACACTGCAATCTTGCAGTTTCTTTCCTCTAGCAAGAAAAACGTATGAAAAATCTCCAGCGCAGACTCTCCTAATCAATCAACGTCCCGTGTTCTTCTTTCGCTTCGAGTGATCGGTGTTCGTTCTCGAACGTTTGTTTATGCTTGCAAGATTGACTGATTGACTGTTTGTGAGAAGGGGGGGGGGGGTGGAATGAGGAGCATAAAAAAGCCAAACACCACTCGCGGATCTCATTGGATCTCGCAGCGCTGGTCTTTTACACATAATCGCAACAAATTCGCGCTACATGACAGCCGGCCTGGTCAACCGCATATCACACGATTTTATGACAGTGACAAATTAGCATGGCACCGGCTCATCATAGTTTCACGGCATATGCTAGATTTTACGCAATATTGCACCAGAAGAGAAAGGTGAGCTCACCGTTATCGCAGTTGACTACGCTGATGTCTTCAACATGGCGAAGTTCATTGTCGACGTCGAGAGTGATCTGAATGGTTTTGAGAGTTACGGTAGGGTTACGGTAATATACAGTAACTTTGTGCTTACCTGTTTCCCGGCGACATTGGTCCTGATGTAGATCTGCACGTCACCATCGAGTACGGTAGGCATTACCGACTGTATGGATAGGTTGAGAGAGTAGTGAATTGGAGAGAGCGCAGACAGCGAGAGAGTGCTAAAAAATCAATTCCTAGACTTCATATTATGACTACTGTGAACACTACTGAGTACTATGAAAATAAAAGCATCTCCCAATCCCCTCCCCTCCACCTCCCACCTTCCCTGACCTTTTTGGTGTATTAGTTGTAAAAATAGAAGGCTCGCTCATTTTGTTACCCCCCCCCCCTCCCCTCCTTTTCTCCAACCCTTCGTTCTTCTCCCCAGCAATTTCTAATTTTCTTAAACACTTTATTGCTCCTTTTCATGAGCCTGGAGTCTGCCCTGGGCAATAATTCAGCTCAAAATTGTGAATGCCCCCCCCCCTCTTCACCCCCTCTGGCCCAAAGTAACATTTCAGAAACTCTTTGCGCCATTCCGTGTGTATTCATCCCTTCACCCTTCTTGCTACTGTTTACAAACACCGCTACTTTCCAGCCATATGGGTCCGAAACTTGTCGGACCCCCCCCCCCCCCCCAGCCTCTTCCCAGCGGGTGGTTTGCTATTATTTCACCCACGTTTTATGATACAGCACTACACATGTCGCAAGACACTCGGATGACATATGATTTCGATGAGGAGCGATGACATATGATATGGGAAAGATATCAGGGATGGTGGAAGGGGAATTAGCATAATCTTGAAATCAAAAAAAAAATTCTTATCACGGTAGACAAGGTGCTACTATTGGATAATTGGCGTTTCTAGCTAGGATGGAAAAAAATTAGTAAAATTGAGACCCAGATTCAGTATCAATACTAGCAAAAGCGTAAATTTTCCTCGTCTGACCAGTCGCTTTGTGTAATTGCACCACTTTTTGTGTTTGCACGACGCTGTCATTAGAGTCTGCGGCTTTTTCCTATTCCGTGCAAGTTTTTAATGGTGTCTTTTCGTCGTTTACTACTTTTCTTTGATCAGGGTGGTAATTCTATCACCCCTGGTTTTGCTCGACTAAGATTTCAAAAGTGGTGCAGTTATACAAAGCAAGTGGACAAAGGAGGACGACTTGAAGTAAGCCGCATATTTCCCAAGCGATGAAAAGCAATTTCACTTAGCAAAAATGAACTGTTTCAGGTAATTCAATAAGAAAGTGCGAAATGACCTCCCCCCCCCCCCTCTAAACTCTTTTTTAATGCTCAAAAGCCCATTAAAAGTAAACAAGTGATTCTCTTTGGATGTCAAGGATGAATCATGAAGAGATTCTTCAATAATTCCCACAAAATGAATGGAACCTACGGAAAATTGTAAAGTTAAAAATTACGGAACTTAAAAGAATTTTGTTCTACAGATTATGGCAGAATGTTACAGATTTCAGAGATGGTAAATGGAATGAAATGTTCTCCATTATAATGCATTATTTTCTTCGGAAGTGCTACCAGAATTAAAAGAAAAACATTTGGTTATTACATTATTATTTATTTTTTGATTGAACGATTTTTTCAACAATTATATGTTTTTATCGATAAAGACAAAACGGCTCTCTTTGCAAGAATAACTTTTCCAAGCGGATGGGACATAGAGCGAGTTCCGATTGTTATTAATATTATTACTTATTTTTGTCATTTAATTTTTTTAAAAATTATATGGTTTCACCAGATAAAGGCTGGAGATTAATAATGAAATTTTTTTACTTTGAATTTTTGTTTTGAGCCAGCCACCCAAATTCTGTTTGAAACTTCTTACCAAAATCTTTTTGTATTCCACCAAAGCCATACCCAAACCCTGTTCATTTATTTCCACTTTTTTGCATAGCCGTACTCAGAAATAACTTTATGACACACTCACATCACATCGTCTCTCGTTTTCGGGCAGGTGACTGGTCGTAGCAGAATTGACGAGCACTTGTCAACCACCTGTGAACACATTTGACAATTTGCAAAAGCGCCAAATAACAAATTGTGCAAAATTACGTACCTTCGAGTTTTCCATTGCTTGGGAGATTTGGGCGATTTCTTGGGTAGTTGGGGCATCAGTGATTTCTTGGGTGGGTTCGGGTTCTTCAAATTCCGTCTGGATGGTAGTCTCTTCAAAAACTTCTGGCTCAGGGGTGGTGCTGGTGGATGAGGTGGTGGAAGAAGTGGATGAAGTTGTAGAAGTACTAGTTGTGCTAGTTGTCGTTGAAGTTTGAGTGACAGTTGTCGTCGTGGGGGCTATAAAAATTCGTTGATGACACAAAAGCGGGCCATTTATCGCAAAGAGAAGCCATATTACACTGGATAAAGATAAAAGAGCCGAAAAAATGATGACTCACTGGTGGCGACGTCTCTGTTGATGGATGATGGTAAAACAGCTTGTGCTGCTGTCGTGGCAACAGTTGTGGTCCTTACTGGAATAGTCCTGGGAGCAGGAGTAGTACTTGTAGGAATAATGGAGCTGGCTGCAGGTGGTGGATTAGGCTCTGGTACTAGGAATAATTGCGAGCTGGTGGCGTTACTTGGCAATTCTTGGACGACTTCAGGTTTTCCTCCATTCAGGACCAAATACAGTATGGTGGCAGCACATAGTAGGACTAGCACACTGGCAGCGATCAATAAATACAGCAAAAATGAGGATTTTTGCTTTTTCACGCTGTCTGACATGTTTTTCTGTGCGGGAGAGGAGTGGGCACAGCTGCAGCCAAACTTGTAACGATGTCGAGCAGGGAAAGAACTTTTCCGCAAAACTCCGTGGGCGGAGCCAGCCTGGCCCTTCGTGCCACGCTGGCTCCGCCTACGGAGTTGGGAGCAGACGCACGGCTCACAGGGTACTTGGGGGCATTCGCCGATTACCAGATGCCAAATGTCGAGTGGTATCAAATTTTCACGATGATACCATGCATTAGGTCATCATCAAAAAACCAGCAGATGCCTTGAGCAGAGACACTTTAGAGAGGCAAGCCGACTAAAGTTGGGGAGTGATAGCAGAAAAGTCTCGAATAGAAGTCCTTCGACTTTTGGCACTTGAGGTAAAAACGTCAGCATGGCTACTTTTTATAAAAGTAAAGAACCATCAGTGTGTAGTAGGAGTGTCTCATTTTTGACTGGCTTAGACAACAATTTACGAGGTGGGCCAAAAATGAAATGAGAAGTAGCCCATCTGGATAAAAACTTTCGCTTGACATCGAAATATTAGGTTGGCACAAAAGTTCTGTCGTTTCATTTTCAAAAATTTGTAACTCCGCGAAATTTCAACGGATTTGCTTGCTTGTAATTTTAGTAGAAAGAATAAATCTTTCGCTTTCAAATGCTGTTCCGTGGAGCTTCTGTTTCATACTGAGTGCGGAGACAAAAATGGAAAACTAAGACCATATAAGCTTTGATCATTTTAAGTTAGGTCACCAAAGATATGGAACGCTGCAGAAAAATCTGAAATCGTCAGTACATATGTTTTTTGGCCTACCCTTTGCATCTGTGAAAAGCTTGTGCTGTTTGGACGTCTCTGTGAGAATTCGTCCGTAGGAGTACCCAAAATTCCAAAATGCGGTTTTTTCATATCAGATCATACTTCTTCATCATGTTGCATAAATAATATTCGATAAGAATCACAGAAGCTTTCGTGTATTTGCTGCAGTTGCTGTTTCATGACTCTGTCAAAAATCGAGACCTCCGAAGAAATAATTTTCTGAAGCTCAAATCAGCAGATTAGGATAACCCAAAAACATTACCTTATAGCCCGAAATTTGCTCTATTTGATAAATACTTAACCCTTTCCGAAACTTTGGAATGAAATTTTCAAAAAATTAGCCGAACTTTGAGCAGATAATTATTAAGAAAGCATACAAGATTATGGTTCTATAACAATGTATCCATAAAAAAGAAAGGGAAAAGCTGCATCAAATTCATGTTAAAACTCATTAAGGTCTTTATTGTGCGTGGTTTTATAGTGCTTCGAAAAAACGGACAAAACTTTCGGGACAACCTAATATTTTGACTCATAAGTTTTGCACATTTTAGAAATTGCAACTATTTGTCTACCTGACGAATTCTTTCAACTAAATGTGTATCAGGAAGCGAGAATCATCGCACTCCAAAAGTGTTCAAACAAGTAATTATTTTCCATATCGTGGTGATACAAACTGATTAAGAGAGACCTTCAAATCGAAATTTGAATTTTAGTCTCCAAAAACTGGAAGATCCAAGAATTTCATCGATGTTTTCCTTTGAGGTTTCGCGACTTACTCCTTTCAAGTGTAAAAATCTATAGAGGTGGGTATTTCTACTACTAGTTACGATTTATGATTTTTTAACTTGACATTTCGCTTTTGTTTGAATAGAATTTCTAAGTTGCATATAACTCATATACTTGTTGTAGGTTTCAAGAAATAAACACATAACCTGGAAACGCTGTTTCAAAATTCAGAATGAGCTTTCGGAGAGAAAGGTTCATTAGTGCTGTCAACTGATACTAATTATTATAATATGAATAATGAACACATGTGTCTTTGTGCTCGAAATATAACTATTCAGCAATTCAACACTTTACCTGTTTATTAGGCTATTCCAAATGTATATCATTCCAAAATTTGCATTTTTTCATACTAGGTAGATCACAAAAACCTAATGCTTCGTGACGAAAATATGATATGCTCTCTCACAATCGCAATGCCTTAAATTTTTGATTTATTTTAATTAACTTTTTTCCAATTAGCATAGCACTAGTACAGTGATTGCTTTAGCTAGTCCTCTATGCATCAGCTTCACATCGCTTAGGTCGAAAAAGATTATAGCCACTCTTTGGCTCGTAAAGATAACGCTGAAAAGATTGATGTTTTTACATAATCTGCTCATTTTGAGCAAGTTGTAGACTTATTTTTAGCGTAATGCAAAGCAACGTAACGAAGAGCTCATTACAAGCAAATGTCATATAATTAGTTTAAAATTCGTGAAAGCTTGTATTTCTTTCTGCTTTTGGAAGACTCTATCCGAAAATGCAAAAACGAAGTCCTTCTTGACTTTCCCAAAATCACAAAGTCCCTTTTGACCTAAACCATAGATGTAAAAAAGCCTCAAAAAAGCATCGACTAAAAAACGTAATTTTTTTCAGTCAAAACGATATCCTCTTTGCTTGTTGTCCTAAAAACGATATTCAGCTTGGTTATGAGCCACCTGTGTCGAGCCCTGCTCTAGAAACTCCAACAAAGTCCAATTTTTGAAGCATTGAGAAAGAGACAAAGGGCTATCCATCCGCATCATTTTCACCTCGACGGGCATTATACAGTCGACTCAACCTCGTTTTCCTTTCTTTCAAGAATTTCTCATATTTTTCATTCTTTCAAATAAATATTAGATTCCGGGAGCACAGTGCCAATACGAAGGCATTGAAAATTCAAGCTGTTCAGTGACGCACGCTAGAAAAATTGAAAATGGTTTAAAGTATCCGATAATTCGAAAATTTGATACTACGTGTATCGACGAGCTGAAAGCTTTCGCATGATTTGAAGCAAAAAATCTTGTAGGAAAGTCGTAAGAATTTTCTTCGCCAAGTTTTTTTCGTTATAATTTTGCATAGCCTTGATGTAATAGTGAGAGAAATCTGCAGAAGTTTTATTGAATCAATATGCAGCCTATAAAATCAAGAACTTTGTTATGAAGAATTCTACAGAAAGATGATTGAAATGAATACGAAGTCACATGCATTGGTTTCGGCTTTTTTACATGATCAGCATCGGTTGATGTTATTTATAACAACGATTTTGGTAACCAGGATCACATTTCAAGCTGATGTATTATGCGCTTCTAGGTACAAGACATGAGACAAATGTATGCTATGCAATAGATTTGTCATTACTAGAAAGTTAGTCACTGTTATGTCCAGAAAATGCTTGCATTTGTGTGTTACTTCGACTGCCACACGCCAGCAACTCGAACCTGCTCACTCCTTTATCTATTGTTTGTCCACTGTTACTCCATTTTTTTCTGGAGCAAAAAAATTGATGAGATTCTCCTTTCAAAAGGAATCGCATTTTGACCACTTTCGAGAAAGCTTAAGATGTGGCTACTCTTTAGTCATTAATCACTATAGCTTTCGCAGAACAATTCGTTTCTAACTGTATTGCCTAAACCATTAAAATCACACAAACACCAACATAAGGAATTCAAAAATATAGAGTGAAAATGCCAATTATGGCTGCAAACAAATCAACATCTGATTTCTAGAAACCACCCATTTTTGAAACAAAGGACGCATATTTCCTAGAAGAACTCAAATTTCTATGGAGTGTAGAATTTATTCGAAAACTAATCTATTAGGATGTCTAAACTACAAAATTAATTGCTGAGAAGTTATGAAATAGTGCCCATTTTCAAAACAAAATGACGCAAATCACCTACAAGAACTCAGTTTTTCTTATGGACTGTTGAAATATTTGAAGACTGATCCACAAATTCTCTAAACTACTAGGTTGCTCAGGAGCTATGAGCCAGTGCTCTTAAATTTGTTAGGAGTGGTTAGCTAAATGCAAATTTTTCTTTGAAAAACAATTTTTCTACGAGACTGATCTTCAAACGCAGTAATTTCTGGAAATCTAAGCGTGCGTTCCTTTAGAACAACGGTAAACAAAGGTATACTTTCTGTTGAGATAAAATAAACCTGCTTTTCAAATTTTTCTATACATTGTTCGAGGTCAAAGGTCGATAACTTACAGACAGCTGTTCGATTCCCATTCGTTAGGCTTCCCGACAGCCTCATAAGCAAAATTAATCCCTTTCAATCCATGTTGATTTTTTTAGGCTGTGCAGCGCCACCCTTGGTCAATTTATTTTTGGAAGAGGGAGAAGGAAGGGGATTGCCCTTCGATTGGTAAACAGCCTTGTAAAGATGTACTAAATGGTTAAACACTGCCTGGTTTTTCACTGGTGAAGCCTCAGGGCATGCAAGCATTAGTTACAGCAAATTTTTAGAAGCTGGAAAATAATATTTTTGTAAATGAACATTGGGAGGTAGTTCTTTATTTTTGAAAGACAGACAGGGGAAGGCGAAAAGGTTGAACAACTTTCTAGACGCGTCTCTTTCTGTAGCCAGTAGATGGTGGCACCTGATAGGTAGCACCCGTAGGCTTGTCTCCTCTTTGTGGGCAGTTGCAGTACTTGGCATCTTCTCCAGGACCTCCAGGATTTCCCATAGGTCCAGGCATTCCGGGGAAAGCATCGTGTCCAGCATTTCCAGGTAGTCCTTTTGGACCAGGCTGTCCAGGAGTTCCGTCTTGTCCATTTTCGCCAGCCTTTCCGGGCAGACCAGGTTCTCCAGTCCATCCAGGTGCTCCAGGCTGTCCAGGTGCTCCGGGGAATGAGGTGGTTCCAGGCATTCCATCGGGTCCAGCCATTCCATCGAAGCCGGGTGGTCCAGCTGGTCCTTGATCTCCGGGCTCTCCTTCGGGTCCGGGAACACCGTCCGCTCCACATGGTCCAGGTTTGCCATGTGATCCTGGGAATCCTGGCTCTCCTGGAGCTCCATCGCTTCCGGGTTCTCCTGGTGGTCCAGCTGGGCAACTGATGCAACCTGGAAAAGGTTAATGATTCAAAATACAATTTGTCTTGGAGGAAAAATGAATTTGCAATATTTTTACTGAGAAGGCAATATGGTACTCTACGTGCAATAATGTCAGTTGCGAAAATTTTGCTTTCTGGATAACTGGCTTACTGGATCACTTTTTATCTGGACCATAATGCTGCCCCTTACTGTAGGATTACGGTATTTCACGGATGACTTTCGAAAGTGCTGGAAGGGTCACAAAAAAAGGCCGCAATTCAAGTCAGAAAGTTAATAAAAAAAAGCGCTTTCTTTTATAATTTTCTATGGTCGTAGATTTGTGTGTTTATGTTACAGTTACACTCAGTAGTTTTCTGGTAGATCGCCTACAGTAATCCTACCGTAGTGCTGTCCCACCTACTTAATCAATCGAGTTTAGTTCAGATTGCCTTACCTCCAGGTACATCATGATTGACCGAAAGAATGAGTCCATTGGTTCCATCGCGTCCATTTTCTCCAGGGAAGCCCTCATCTCCTCGTGGTCCCGGTGGTCCTGGTGGTCCTTTTGGTCCAGCTGGGCATCCGATAGAACGCTCATTGCATTCGCATTGTCCCGGATAGGTGTAACGTTTCTGACGGAACAGGCTAGGGGTAGGGTTGGCGGATTTGCCAGTTGGGCTCTGGAGGATGAGAATACGGTCCCAGGTGTCTTCAGCAAGGACACGGAACTCTTGCATGCTGCCGTGGACCTCATCGCTCAGCGTTGAAATATCGCTGACGATCTGCCCAATGCCCACGAGGGCACAAAGCACTCCGAAGAGGCAAGCACCTGCACTGACGTAGCCGGCTGTGGTCATCTGAGATGAATTGACAAGCCGTGTGGTTAGCGGGTTTATATAGGGTAAAGGGATATGATAACCTGATGCGAACGCATCGCGAACTGCTCGAAAAACTGCCGGGTGCGGATTGAACTTGCTACCTGCGCCTTGGGTGATGGCGAAGGTTTGCTTTAGAGGAGAGTATATGATGGAAATATTTGAAAAATTGTACTAATTTACCTTGTTTGCCTAAGAACTCAAATGGGTTTTGCATTAAGAGAGCTCAGCCACTTCTGACTTGTCCAGATGCCGAGAATTTTGCGTAATTTCAACAAAATCGGTTTTGATGCATATAGTTCCAAATTTGGTCTTTGAATTTTGATCTCTAGAATTGCTAGAAAGTCTATAATCTAATTTTGATTTTTGTTTTTATGCAATCTTATATATAAAGCTGAATGTCTGTTTGTATGTCTGTCTGTCTGTCTGTCTGTCTGTCTGTATGTCTGTATGTATGTGTGCACGTATGTTCCGAATAGAAAATACCATTTCTGAACCAATCCGGACCAAACTTGGCACATATACACTTCGGGGCAGGGAGCGTGTCATAGGCTACTTTTCGTCATCGGTCAATATCGATTTTATCGATTTTTTTGCTGAGTTCACCTAAGGGGCTAGGAGCTGGCACAGGGGGGTAATCGAATGCTGATTACGAATGCAATATTACTTTTCAGAATTATTGATTACTTTTATCGATAATCGATTTTTTGCAAAGTTTGAGTTACAGGGCTGGGATTTGGCACAGGGGGTAAGTGGGCATGGCGATTCCGAATACAATATTACTTTTCAGAATTATCGATTACTTTTATCGATTTTATAGATTTTTCGGAAAGTTTGAGCTACAGGGCTGGGAGTTGACACAGGGGGTAATTGAGCATGCTGATTTCGAAAACAACACAGGGAACGGGAAATGAAGTGTAGAAGTGGGTACAGGGAAAGACTGTACAGGGGTAGGGATGGGACCTTTATTACAGTGTTTTGACAGGGCCGAGCGGAGCCGGGTAAGCAAGCTAGTTCTTTATAATTCTGGTTTTCGGCGACTGTCCCTCAAATCGACACGTTTCTTTCACCTTCTGATAAAGCACCATTCACTTTTCAAAACCTGTGAAGTCGCTATTGCTGACATCTTCATACATCGGATTTAAAACAGTGGAAATTTCGCATGATTTTTCTTTACTTTGTTATTCGAAATTCTGATTCTCGGCGGTTATTCCCTGGTTCGACCTACTTTCTTCGCAGTACGTCATGACAAAATTAACTTAATAAAATTTATACAGTCCCGCTAACTTCTACTTCCAATTACACCATTTACTAAACACTTTTATTTTAAATACATATTCCGCCGTATACATAAAAATATGCTTCCAATAATCTTTTTTGCGTTTGTTTTGCTTATTTTCCTTCTTTATCGTTCAGCGAAACAATTCTTTATTCCAAAAGTGAAGGTGGTCACCCTTTACCAGCTCAAAACTGAAGGTAGGGAGAGAATCGGCTCCCACTATCGCACCTCTGCTCGGGGGAAAGGAAGCGGGGGGGGGGGGGGGAGGGACATTTCTTTAATGAAGGTGGGAGACGTAATTTTTACACTTTTTCAAGCGGGTGCATACCCTCGTAATTCCCATGTGATCAGGTGAGATGAGGCAAAAAAAATATGAGGTCGCTCCAAAAGTAGTGTTCGCTTTTTTCGAAACCAGCCCCATCTCGCTGAACAAAGTTCTTTACGCGTTTTTTTACAGCATCCGATGTACCTTTTTGTCATCAAAGCTACCATTTTTTTAGTAGAACGTTTGATATGAACTCATCAAACACCAACTGAATCGTCAGAGTCTTAGACTTCTAGAAACAGAGTATAGATCAACACTGATAACAAAGCAAGTGAGATTTTTCGCATTCAAAATACAAATCTGGAATTCTTTGCGTGCAACCCGAGGCGTGTTCAAAAAAGCAGGTTATGATGGCTGTATCTGCCAGGACTCTACGAATTGGAAGTAATGCATTTTAGAAGGAGCAGAAAAAGCTGCATCGAATGCTATCCGAGTTGCTAGCCGGTTGTTGTTCTACGAGATTTTGATCAATTATGATTCGATAGCATCAAAAAAATATTTCAAGAATTGTAATTGGCAAGCATTATATGGAAAAGTAGAAAATTGTTCATCCAATGGGGTCAGCTATCCACTTGTAGCCAGGATTTCTTCGTGCATTCGATACGCATTCGAAAGTTTGAAAAAAAAGCGAAACTCGATCATTTCACAAACATGAGTTTTGTTTTGGTTATTCTCTGAGAGCTCTTTGGTTAGAACAAGGGCGGTGGCGTACCCAAATCTCAGCCCGGGGGGGGGGGGAGAGAGGGCGGACCACGTACCCTCAACAAAAAATATTTTTTGTTGAGGGTACGTGGCGTCAGCCACGCACTCCGAAAAATTTTTTGGGATGCTTTCCAAATTTGCGCTCTCCCGCCCCCCGAAAAAATTTTAATAGAGCGAAATTGAGTTTTTAAAAAATTCAAAAAAATATTTTAATTACTTACAAGTTTAAACAAGTCATTTGCACGTATTTGTAACTCATGTAGGTGACTTTTAAAAAACTTCGCGACCCATTCTGGGGGAGGGGGGCGTCCCCCCCCCCTTCGGTGCTGTAGTTATGCGGTATATTCCAAATCTGGGAGACATGTGAAAGTAATTTGGCTTAGACACGTGGTAATATACAAAAATACAATTTTTTTCGAAGCCAGACGTTCAAGGCAGTATCCGAGCCTGGGCGCATCGTCTTTTTGCCAAAATCTGATGAGGGGGTCCCTAGCCACGGCACTGCCTAAACGGCAGCGCAAATGATTCGCTCATGACTGAGAAGTCCACCCCCGGAACTTCGCGCCCGCACCGTGACCATCTCGCAAGTGACTTAGAATGGTCCCAACGCCGTGGTGCGAAAGTGAGAAGTCAATTTCGTGTTGTGGTCATGGCGCAAGCAAAAGGTTTGACGACGCATTTCTCAGCCACAAATGAATCATTTGCGCTCTCGTTTGGACAGTGCCTTAGTAAGGAAATCTCCATCAGGTTCCATTCGAAAAGCACATGAGCCCAAATCTGCATAGAGACATTGCCTCTCAAAAACAATCATGAACTAAAAACACAAGGTGCCTTTTTCGAGTTTTTTGTGCGGAATGTGTTTTTCATGATAGGACACATTAGGTGGTAAGATTTTCGTGTTTTACTTACAAAGTTTTGATACATATATTTACTAGCGCGCAATCGTGTTCCCAAATCCCTAGCCGTTAATATTTTCGGCGCTATTCTAGTATCCGGGCCCCAAAATTTTTTTGTCGTGGATTTGCCTGAAACTTGGCCTCGGGGGGGGGGAGAGCTATTCGGCCCGCTGATGCCGAATATCACATCGCTTTTGTATGATAGCGTCATTTTCTGAAGTTACGGTGGATGTATGGTAGGGGGTCAAAGTCACGGATTTGGCTGAAATTTACTCTAGGGGGATTACTCGACATGCTGATCACGAATATCACACTCTTTCTGCATTCTGCGGCTTTTTCATGGAGTTACGGTAGGTGTACGGTATGAGAACGAAACCATGAATTTGCTCCAAACTTCGCCTAGAGAGGTTCTTGAGCCCTCTGAACATTAATATCAAGCTGATTTTTCAGAAAAGCGCCATTTACTTGGGTTACGGTAAGTATACCGTAGATAAGTCGAAGTTCCGATTTTGCTTTCTTTGCCTAGAAGGGTTTTTGAGCATGCTGTTTACGAATATCATGCTCGCTCGCTGCAATAACGCTTTATTGTGGAGTTAGGTAATTTGCAGCCTATGAATTATAGACATATTTCCGCCTTTTGGACCAATCTAGATCACGAATATCCAGGCAAATACTTTACCATGCGGAATGTGCCATGAATCCCCAATTCATGATTTGTTACAATGTCGATGTGCGTTCTCACAGTGACGGGAAATGTTTAACATTATGTTTTGAGAACAGCAATAGCTCTTAAGGGGAGCCGAGGAAACGGGAGGCAGGTAAGATGGGCAAGCTGCCTCGTCCCTGACAGGCGAGGAACCTGGCAAATGGCAAATCACACTGGGTAAGGCAACTCAAAATTATAGAAACATGTGTCTTTGTCATTGTGCAAGTTGTGAATAAATATTTTACTTGTGGATCGTAATTCATCTAAAGAAATCGTACTGGAATAGTACGAACATGGTGCATCGGCCAAACTCGAAGAAAGGCCATATGATCAGCTACAAGCGTGGCAAAAAATCGGCAAGGTAAAGCAAGGTAACAGGAAATATAGCTTGAAGTGCTCTGGAAGGGCCCACCGGAGCAGATTTTCCTTAAGCCGTGCCTACCTTGCAAGAAGAAAAATGGAATAGAAGCGCTTCACAAATATATTATAACGCAGCTGCCTCAATGAAAAGTACCGGAAGGGTACAAAGTTTTAAAAGAAAAGTACCGGAAGGGTACAAAATTTTGAAAGAAAAGGCAAAGACTAACTCGGCAACTCAATGAATTGGGAAAAATGCTACAAGAAGCTGAAGAATATGCTCAACCATGGCAATTTCCCACAGTAATGCAAGACTTGGAAAACTTTTTGGCAACAAAACCAATCATAGTAAAAGCATTGAGCAAAAAAATGGAAAGCAAGAAAGAGAAATATGGCAATTTTACAATGAATGTGTAAGCAACATCAATAGCTCTGAAGAAAAATTAGGAGAGGATGGAAATGTAAAAGGTAACTTTGAGCAATACTGGGAAGAAAAAAGAGGAGATTTTTGGTTGGAGACCACCTCCGAGGTAATTGACAATCTAGAAAAGAGGATCATAGAACTCCAATGCCAAGAAGCTTTGTTGAAAAAAGAACAGGAAAAACGTAAACAGAATGAAAATGACCGAACCACCATCGTAGGTCACGTTTGTTCGGGAACGAATTGGAAATCCCAGAATTTGACGGTAAAACAACAGAGTTTGATTCATTCTGGGAACTATTCGAAGAATTAGTTCACAAACAACCCTATTCTAATATTGAAAAATTTTCAATTCTTCTCAATTGTTGCAAAGGAGACGCCGCAAGAACTTTGAGAATGATACCAGTTTATATGAAACAGCAATAAACTAATTAAAACTTCTGTACCAGGATCCCAAAAGAACCACCATGACAATGATAAGGCAATTAAAAAGTAGCACTCCCTCGCTACCTGTCGTCATCATCATCATCAACGGCGAATCGGAAAAATCTCCGTCATCAGATGAAGTATACATTGTGTATTGTAGTTTAAATGTAATTTAAATTTTGAAATTGCTTATTATGAGAAGTATGCATTGTATATTGTAGATGCAAATGTAATTTTGATTGCTTATCATAAAATGGTAACAAAAAAACCAAAAAAAACAACAACAACACAAAAAAATTTTCTTTCTTTTTTCTGTGTGCGGGGAGTGTCATGAATCCCCAATTCATGATTTGTTACAATGTCGATGTGCGTTCTCACAGTGACGGGAAATGTTTAACATTATGTTTTGAGAGCAGCAATAGCTCTTAAGGGGAGCCGAGGGAAACGGGAGGCAGGTAAGATGGGCAAGCTGCCTCGTCCCTGACAGGCGAGGAACCTGGCAAATGGCAAATCACACTAGGTAAGGCAACTCAAAATTATAGAAACATATGTCTTTGTCATTGTGCAAGTTGTGAATAAATATTTTACTTGTGGATCGTAATTCATCTGAAGAAATCGTACTGGAATAGTACGAACAGAATGAGCACGATAGATCAGCGAGTCAGATATCCCTCCCGCACATATTTTCAAGCAGCTCTATGATTTTCACTCCCTACCATGTACCTACCGTAACGCCGGACAAATGTCCCAAAGCGCAGGGCGAGCATCATAATCGTGATAAGCATGTCAAGTAACCCCCTTAGGCCAAGTTTCAGCGAATTCCGTGATTTTGACCCCTACCGTACTCCCACCGTAACCTCAGAAAATGAAGCTATTATACAAAAACAATGTGATATTCAGCATCAGCCGGGCGAATAACCCTCCTAGGCCAAGTTTTAGGCAAATTCACGACAAAGAAATTTTGGGGCCCAAGTAGTGGAATAGCGCCGTATTTTCTCAGTTTACGAATTCCAGAGTATGCATGTAATGAGTGTTTATGTGCGTACAGGGTTCTTAAATTGCAGAGTCGTTTGCACCAGCTGTCGCGCGACCGCGTCGCGCCCTGGCATCAATGGCGCCGCCTCGATCGATGGCGCCGGCGCCGGCAAAATGCCCGGGCGCGACGCGGTCGCGCGACCGCTGGTGCAAACGATTCTGCAATTTAGGAGCCCTGTATATCACACGCTCAACAAGTGGAGTTCGTAAAGTTTTCTGGGCGAAATCTAAACTTTGAGGCATTTGATGTTTGCAAGCGCGTAAATCCCAAATAGTGGTTTACAGCGCACAAACAATCGCATGACACCGATTTGGGCTATATGTAGCCAATATTACTTCAAACCACATCATGTAAAAACTTTGAAAAACTTACGCGTTTTAACAACCGTTTTCAAATTTGTTGGCTTCTAAACCGATACCAAACCAACTGAATTGGTTTTTATAGGTCTAGAAGAACGACTAAAAATGTATCTCATGGTGGAAAGAGCGAATATAACCATTACCTCTTTTTTGACCCAAAAATATATAAGCATACGCCTTGTAGATATATGCTGTAATCACATGTGTCAGGGGGGTCCTCTGAACTATGTGGCGACAATTGCATCTACAAATTGTTGTAGGCCATAAATTTGGTTGGCTTATGGGAGGGGGCATTTGAAGAGCAGAATGGTACAATTCTTAATAAAGTTTGATCAACTTCAAATGTTTTTTGCTTTTTTTATTGCATTAAATACCTGAAAATTTGCTTTTTTGTTTCTGTTTTATAATGTTGATTGAGCACAGTTAAATATTGAATATTGTTTGATGTCAAAGCGGACTTTGTAATTTTGTGAAGTCATGCGGAGCCTCATTTTGAGGAACGCTTCAAATCAACGCGTGCCGGCCAGCTCGTAGTATTTCTGTGAGCATATTCAGTAGTGCACCATCCATTTTTTATACTCTTGCTACGGTTATACAGGCGATTCCCATGCGTATATCGGGCGTGGCCTTGCAGACATTTTAACACATTGGAAAACATGTGATTCCTCCATTTCAAAGTATTAGTTTTTGTACTCTCTCGGTATCAAAAACTGCAACGCGGATACGTTGGCAAACGTCGGCTAAGCCCCGCCCGCTATACTGTGGGAATAGACGATAGCAATAGAGATGCTTATTACTTTTGCACTAATCTAACCTGATTTTTCTGTGTGATTGTTAGTTTACGTACACCTTTATGATTTCTTGAACATTGCAATCAACAATTCTTTAACTCTAATTGTATACAGTAAGGCCGCCTCTACACTTCACAGATGCGGCTCTTAATAGGCGATTTGATCTCTTTGCTTCCTTCGCCATTTCATTCACCTAAATTCACTTATGTAAATGCAATAATCATCAGAAAAGGAAATTAGCAGCATACCAAACTACAGTCTGGCACTTCCGACACGCCCACTTCCACTGTTAGCTTACCACCCGTACTACGGGCATTCACCGTGAACATACTTTCGATGTAGGGAAGATTGTGACGCTTAAGCTGTTCCTGAAGCTAAAGAGAGGGAGAATCTTTGTCAGCAAGAGGAATGCATATTTGTCTGAGCTTTTGCAACTTTGATGTACGTGTTTTTCAGACCCTCAACATAGTCTAGATTCGTGTCGAGAAATGTAAGTGCCCCGAGTCCGCTAAATGCAGGACGTGCCTGAGAATTGAAATCTGGATTGAAGATCTCCAAGGTTTAAGTAGTCAAGAAAATTCACCTCCAAAGTTACAAAGAGTGCCAGAAGAAGAGTGATCGTCAGCATCTGAAAAAATAGTAAACGCACATTCTTTGTATTATTAGCTGCACTAACAATCAATCACAACTTCTCAGAACAAGATGGGACATTTCATGCTTCAAAATTGATATCTACAAGAATAACTTAGATTTTTCGTTAGGCAAAAGTGCAGTCTGTGACATAGTCACTTTATGATAATTTTATGCTTCTGCAAGAATAAAACATTCATCCATAGTGTAGTTGATAAGCTTTGGTTCGTGTTTGAAGCAACAAAAATGGAAATTGGAATTAGATATGAAGCGAAGGGAAAATAACCAGGGGCTTTGAACCAAATGCTGGAACGCAAATGCGATTTCAAGTCGCATATCAAAAAGGAAAAACGTTTACTGTGAGAAAGTGCTGGAGTTTTAACGCTGCGCTCTCTTTCAAACTATCAGGTTCCTAGCGCATGGAAAGTATAATCTTATATATAAAGCTGAATGTCTGTTTGTATGTCTGTATGTATGTCTGTATGTACGTATGTTCCGAATAGAAAATTCCATTTCTGAACCGGTCGGGACCAAACTTAGCGCACATACATTCGGGCCCCGGCGGGTGTCATAGGCTACTTTTCGTCATCGATCGATATCGATTTTATCGATTTTTTGCAAAATTTGAGCTACGGGGCTGGGGGTTGGCACAGGGGGGGGGGGGTAATCGAGCATGCTGATTACGAGTACAATATTAGTTCGGCTCTATTCGGCTATCCGGGCCCCAAAATTTTTTTTGTCGTAGAGCTTGCTCAAACTTCGTAAGGGTTATTTTACATGCTGATTACAGATATCACACTTTCTCCGCAGAACGTCTCCCCGTGTGGCTAGCACGGTAGGAAGTCAAAATCATGAATTCGGCTAGAGTTCGGCTCAGAGAACTTATTCGGCATGCTGATTACGAAATCCCTCTCTCTGCATATTGGGACCTTTTCATAGAGTTATGATGGTTATTACGGTATGGTTTCACATAGGTGTGCTTTAAACTTCGTCTAGGGTGGTCATTTAGCGCGCTGAACATGAATATTATGCTGATTTTGCGGGATAGCGCCATTTTCTTGGGTTACGGTGGGTGTTCAGTAGATGGGTCGAAGTTCCAGATTTGCTCAAATCCTTACCTGGATCGGTTTACAAGCATGCTGCTTGTGAATATGATGCTTGCTCGCTGTCATAACGCATTATTGTGAAGTTATGGTGAGTTGCAGGGCTTGGAATGAATGGACATTTCTTCGCTTTCGGGCCAATTTAGATCCCAGATATGCACGAAATGGGGAAACGGTCGTTTTGCATGGCGGTCTTCAGCGCCATCCTGATAACCTGTCTCATCGTGTAACGCACGCGGCAAATCTCCCTTCCCCTGTTTTTGCTTACAAGGGAATGGTCAGAAGTCGAAGTGGCCAAACCAAACAAGCTGTATACCATTCGATGCAGTATAAAACGCTGACTTCGAATCTGTCTTCCTTATCTGCTTCCCGCTTCTGTGGACGAAGCTACAAGCCATTAAAGACCATTATTTTGCTAAGAAATCACGCGTGAAATTGAAAATTTAGCCGTGGCGAGCCACGTTCGCCTTAATGCTGGGCCAAAACACGCAGCTAGCTTAGTTCGAATTTTTAAAGAAAGAAGCTGAGCTAAAAGTGCAACAGTGTGCTCAATTTCGCTGTATTTATGTGTGATTTTTTCACAATAAAACCGCTTGTAGCTTCGTCCACAGAAGCGGGAAGCAGATAAGAAGGACAGATTCGAAGTCAGCGTTTTATACTGCATCGAAAGGTATACAGCTCGTTTGGTTTGGCCACTTCGACTTCTGACCATTTCCTTGTTAGGCAAAAGCCGCCGAAGGGTGTATCGCGCGCGGCAGTGGTCCTATTAGGAAAGCATTACGGTCGTGGGAAACTTTTATACCACACGGCCTCTATCGTGGGGATTAAGCACGATATTGAAACAGCACTTCAGGTAATTCCCTGCCAAGGTTTCAGGCAGGTTCATGATTTTTACCCGCTGCCACGCGAAATGACTACGATATTCCTCATCAGCGGCTTGAATAACCCCCACATACCGAGTTTGAGCAAGACCCACCACAAAAACATTTTAGGGCCCGGTTAGCCGAATAACGCCATCAGTTTTCAGAATTTTCCTAACTTTTATCGATTTTATTGTTTTTTTTGGAAAGTTTGAGCTACGGGTTGGGTGGTTGGTGAGGAAGGTAGGTGAGCATACTGATTACTAACATAGCGGGAATAGGGAATTGCATGTAGAAGTGGGCACAGGGAAATTGTACAGGGATAGGAGTAAAACCTTTATCGTTTTTGACAGGGCCGGGCGGAGCCGGGTAAGCCAGCTAGTTCTTTATAATTTTCAGAGTCATCGACTCATGTTCTTAATTTTGGTTCGAATAAAGTCGCTAATGTAATATGGATGCCAGTTACTGAATTGTTTAGATGACAAAAATTTTGCACTTCGAAGAAATGGCCACCACAGGCCGCACCATCAACTCCATCCCAAAAGCCAGCCCCATAGAGGGACCAGTACCAGCAGTCACGGAAGAGGAAGTATGGCTGGCCCTAAGAAGAACAAAGAATGGCAAAGCGACTGGTCCAGATGACATACCAAGCGAGTTCTGGAAAATATGTGGACAATGCGGAGCCACATGGCTAACGAGTCTCCTCAATCAAATCATAAGGAGCAAGAGTATGCCTCGCAACTGGTACACGCACGACCATCCCGATATGGAAGAACAAAGGAGACATAGCAGACTGCGCATCCTACCGACCAATCCGAATGATGAGCCACACTCTAAAAATCTTCGAGAGAGTAATCGAAACACGCCTTCGAGATATCGTAGAGTTGTCACCGAATTAGTGGGGATTCGTGAAAGAAGTAGGTACAACTGACGCAATCCACTCCGCTCGGATAGTGATGGAGAAATACAGAGAGAAGCAGAAGGATTTGCATGCAGCCTTCCTGGACCTAGAGAAAGCCTCCAATAAGGTGCCCCATGAAGTCATATGGTGGGCCTTACGGAAACACAGGGTGCCAGAGGAGTACATTCAGTGGATAAAGTTGATCTACCACAACGCGTCAAGCTACGTGCGAACTGCTGCAGGGCAATCGAAAGAATTCGAAATCAAGGTTGGAGTACACCAAGGTTCAGTTCTCTCTCCCTTGCTCTTCATCACGGTGATGAACGCCGTGATGGAACCGCTCAGACGTGAACCCCCTTGGACACTTCTCTACGCAGATGATGTGGTCTTGATAGCGAGTACCAGAAAGGAGCTACAAGACGAGGTGCAAAACTGGAAAAACAGGCTAGAGTTGTATGGCCTGAACCTCAACATCAGGAAGACATAATATATGGAAGTGGGGAAAGAAACTCCAGGTACCATAAGCATCGATGGTGAAGAGCCAAAGAAGACAACGTCATACAGATACCTAGGCAGTCACATCTCAGCGGAGGGAGGCTTGCAAGAGGAGGTCGCAGGCAGGATGAACACAGCGTGGATGAAATGGAGAGTCTCAACAGGAGTTCTGTGCGATAGACGAATGCCAGTGCAACTCAAGTCCCAACTGTACCGGACCGGTTATCCGCCCAGCAGCACTGTATGGCAGTGATTGCTAGCCATGTATGCGGAACGAGGAGCGCAAGCTCAGCATCATGGAAACAAGGATGCTACGATGGACCTTAGAAGTCACACTGAAGGATCACATCTGCAATGACACTATACGAGCGCGAATGAAAGTAGCTCCAATTGCCCATAAAATGCAGGAAAAGAGGTTACGATGGTATGGGCATGTGCACAGAAGGGATGAAAGCCACATCACCAAGTTGGCCCTGGCGAACTTGGTATAAACGAAGACCTTGCCTCTGATAGGATGACATGGAGACATCTGACGAGGAAAGCAGACCTTGCTTAAGCGGGACACATGCGAGGATAAAAAAAATGAAAGCGTTTGATTTGACGGGTAACACTCAAAAAGCTATTTTTTGTTTGGTCTCTATAAAAGATTCTATTAAAATCTGATCTTAGTCTTGCTTTGATTTTGTAGGCTTTTTCTACTTGAGAAATAGTGCTGATCGGCTTTCCTAGAGTAGTTGCAAACTTTTACTATCTTAAAGTTCGATTCAAATAGTAGCTCAACTGTTTTAATTGAAATGCAAATTCAACGAATGTTATATAAAGCTATTATCATTTGGAAAGCTTTTGAAGGTTTCTAAAAGTATTTCTCATAATTTGGTGCAAGACTCGTGTATCAACTCAGTGTTTTGATTTATTGTTCAGTCTTCGAAATACACTTGTGAAGAATGTAGAAATATTGGAAATGACAAATCTCAAAAAAAAAAAACAGATTGACTCATCACTAAACAAAATGACAGTGATTTGCCTCTGGACACAATCTTTCAGGTTAATCCGTAAAAACTAAACTTATTTCAAATTGCAGTTATTAGGATTTGGCTAGAATAAGGTACTGGATAAATATGAGGTCATGGGTATTAACTAGCTGATAGTATAGAATATAATGTTATACATTCAACTTTCACTTTCTTCATTTGTCAGCGCATTACAAATGCAACAACTGATAGTACGAATATGTTTGGGAAGAGGAAAGAGGCAGAGAAAATTTCTTTTGAGTAGAAAGGCGTAACATTAGCCCCTTCTCTACAGAAATTTCTATCATTTCCAAATTTCTTGCGCGCTTGTAACCAAGGAGTTTTGAAAAACGAGTATTTAGCCCCACTGATTTG